AGCTGCAGTCTTCAAATTAAACGGGCTTCTTGCAGGGGTGGTTGTAAAACTGTCCCTATGGTTTATTATCTCTAGAAAACTGAAATAAATGTATCTGTTTATGTACAATACTGGTTTGTTTGTTTTTAATTAACATAAGCAATATATTAGACCAAAAAATATGCAGCCATTTATCGAAGAAAAAAAAAAAAAACATAGTCAAGCTTCGCCGTTAACGTAGGTTGAGGCGAGTTAATGTCCTTTCAGTATACAGGGGGTAATGTAATAAAGGGCTTTTTATTCTTTGCTCGCTGAACAAGTGTACTTTTTAAGAAAATACGGATTGTTACAAACATGTAACAAGAGTCGCAAAAACAGCTTCTGCAGCTGTTATTATTAGTTTTAATGACTTTGCTGAAAAGCTGGAAATGGGATTAGCGAGATGGGAGCCAGCAGTCCGTCTGCGCACCACCGTCCAGTCTTTGCCAACATATTCCTTTCACTGTATGTCCCCCCCTCTTAGATCCAAACTACTTCCAGAGGCAATCATTAATAACAATTCTGTCCATTGGGGTTTGTGGGCTCGTCCATTCTGAATTCACGACCTTTTCTTATGCTTTAGTCTATATATCTATTGATAGAGGCACTATAAATATGGAGGTTTTATCACAAAATCTTGACAGAGCGCTCAGGCGGCTGCAGCATTTAAAGGGCCGGCGTATAACACGCACCCATAATTTGCCCCCTATTTTCAGGGAGAAAAAGTCCGTGTTATACGCCGATAAATACGGTATATCTTTTCATGTGACAAGACTGAAGAAATTACACTGTGTTACAATGTAAAGTAGTAAGTGTTCAGCCTGTATAACAGTGTAAATTTGCTGTCCCCTCAAAATACCTCAACACACAGCCATTAATGTCTAAACTGTTGGCAACAAAAGTGAGTACACCCCTAAGTGGAAATGTCCAAATTGGGCCCAAAGTGTCAATATTTTGTGTGGCACTGCCTTAACCCTCATGGGCATGGAGTTCACTAGAGCTTCACAGGTTGCCACCGGAGTCCTCTTCAACTCGTCCATGATGACATTACAGAGCTGGTGGATGTTAGAGACCTTGCACTCCCCCACCTTCTATTTGAGGATGCCCCACAGATGCTCAATAGGGTTTAGTTCTGCAGACATGCTTGGCCAGTCCATCACCTTTACCTTCAGCTTCTTTAGCAAGGCAGTGGTCATCTTGGAGGTGTGTTTGGGGTCGTTATCATGTTGCAATACTGCCCTGCGGCCCAGTCTCCGAAGGGAGGGGATCATGCTCTGCTTCAGTATGTCACAGTACATGTTGGCATTCGATGGTTCCCTCAATGAACTGTAGTTCCCCAGTGCTGGCAGCACTCATGCAGGCCCAGACCATGACACATCCACCACCATGCTTGACTGTTGGCAAGACACACTTGTCTTTGTACTCCTCACCTGGTTGCCGCCACACATGCTTGACACCATCTGAACCAAATAAGTTTATCTTGGTCTCATCTGACCACAGGACAGAGTTCCAGTAATCCACGTCCTTAGTCTGCTTGTCTTCATCAAACTGTTTGCGGGCTTTCTTGTGGATCATCTTTAGAAGAGGCTTCCTTCTGGGACATCAGTTTAATGCAGTGTGCGGCATATGGTCTGAGCACCGACATGCTGACCACCCACCCCTTTAACCTCTGCAGCAATGCTGGCAGCCCTCATACATCTATTTCCCAAAGAGAACCTCTGGATATGACGCTGAGCATGTGCACTCAACTTCTTTGGTCGATCATGGCGAGGCATGTTCTGAATGGAACTTGTCCTGTGAATCCGCTGTATGGTCTTGCCCACCGTGCTGCAGCTCAGTTACAGGGTCTTGGCAATCTTCTTATAGTCTAGGCCATCTTTAGGTAGAGCAACAATTAATTTATTCAAATCCTCAGAGAGTTCTTTGCCATGAGGTACCATGTTGACCTTCCAGTGACCAGTATGAGAAAGTGTGAGAGCGATAACACCAAATTTAACACACCTGCTCCCCATTCACACCTGAGACCTTGTAACACTAATGAGTCACATGACACTGGGGAGGGGAAATGGCTAATTGGGCCAACTTTTGTTGCCAACAGTTTAGCCATTAATGGCTGTGTGTGGAGGTATTTTGAGGGGACAGCAAATTCACACTGTTATACAGGCTGTACACTTACTACTTTACATTGTAGCAGAGTGTCATTTCTTCAATGTTGTCACATGAAAAGATATAATAAAATAATTGCAAAAATGTGAGAGGTGTACTGACTTTTGTGAGATACTGTATATATGAGAGGGTTGAGGCAGATTGTTTATAAACATTCAGCTAATACATACGAATGCAAAAATAAGTTGAACATAAAATGTTGGTTAGTTTTTATTAAGGTAAATGATAGTTTGAATTATAGTTTCATAATATACCTGTTATTTTCTGAATTCCTGAAATCATTAGGAAAAAAGTAAAAACAGTACATTCACGTTCATGTGTGTGACGAGTGTGATTTAGCATCACATTCGGTGTAAACAACTGTAAATGTGTGCATCTAATACACAATAGGTTGTAAAATCTTATTGCCAATTTAACTGTATTGAGATATTTTATCCTTCAGGTGACCTTGTTTTGTTCACATTTGGTAGTTACAGTGATAGGTGATAAACCGAAATATACTGGGAATAACTCGGCAAAGAGAGTGAGATGGACTTGCTTTTTCACAGCCTTGATAAAATTACAATTTATTCCACTTTTTATGAACAGGTGGAATTCATATTGACTGCGGACGGTCTTTTTCCTTGGACTGTTTTCTCTATTTGGCGAATGTATAAATGTCTCTGAATTATGTTCCAAGTGGATAATATTATTGTGTTTTTTTCTTCCAGTTTTTATATTATTTATGCACACACAGACACAAATTATCTTTAAAAAGAATCTGATTTTATTTTGTATTTCATAAACTGAATAAATAATAAACAGAATAAAATGTTTATAAAATTGCAATATTTTATACATGGCTAATAGCAATATATTAGCAAAACCGGGAATATGACAGATTTGTACTGTGTGTTTAATAAGTAAATTTGTTTTGGAGCAAATTGCAATTTAACAAATTTGGGCCGATTAATTCCTGCATTTCGAGCTAAAATGTACCCAAAATATGCGCCACGCAATACGCTCAGTGCCAAGTATGTTCAGGTCGGCATCATGTTTCTGAACTCCACCTGTGATGTCCAAAAAAAGAGATGATTGGTAAGAAAACATGTTGACTGATAACTATGGGATAGTCAATAAATATTGATTTATTTTACAGACCAAGTGAGAAGTGAGGGATAGACAGGATAAGAAAATGAAACGCAGTAAAAAATAAATACATCTATATTTGTATGTTATACAGTTAATAAATGTTCCTCTTGTATTTGCGTAACTTTTTTTTCACATTATCTGTGAACCAAATGGGGGTAAATGCTCCTCTCAATGTACGTCAATATATAGATAATATTATGTATATATTTTGCAGCACGGTGATTGGCCGCTTTTTTTAATTGTTTTGTTCTTCTGATTCGGTTCCCAAATTAGAATCTCGGTTCTGAAGTTCTGTCGAACCAACATCTAAAATGTTCTTCTTCCATAAACAAATGGTACAGCCAAGCTAAATATTCTAGCTGTGCACAAGTCTAATAATAAGTCTGTGCAATAAGTCAACTTCCGAGAAAGCGACAATATGAATTAATAGGACGGGATAATCATGCAACAATCAGGGAGGTTCATTCTCTAAACCGTGAATGACGGACAACTGAAAAGGGGAACTAAGACAAAATTGTTGACTTGTTTTTCCAGTCAGCTATTTTTCTATTTCAGACTATTTTGTTATATAGAAAAAGACCATTTTAGTGATTAATTCGGCAAGTTTCAAATAGAATTTCTAAGCAAGTTGAACATCAGGCTTCCTACGAGCAAGATACAATAACATTGGGGATTAGGATAGTGAGATCTAAACAACCAACACTCCATTCTGATGGGGATAGATGCTATGGAGTACCCTATGGGGATAGATGCTATGGAGTACCCTATGGGGATAGATGCTTTGGAGAGACGCACAATTGCCAAAGTGAAAGTAGGCCCGGGGAGCAGCAAACCACACAGTATCCGCCAAACAAAATTTCGAAAGAGTTTCAGAAAGTCTTACATACAAAACTCCACCAACTATTACGAAAAAAATGTACTTTTAGAAAATACTGAAGCTCTTTTGATATAATTTCAGAAAGTTAGAGACGAGGTGGCACTACCTGTGTGACTCGTAAATTTAATTCACATCTTTGGCATTCAAGATTTTTTGCATTTTGTTTTCAGATTTTTAAATTGTATTAATTGTGTCCTTCTCACAAATATCATATTCACTAAAATGGGCAAAAATAGATCCACACATCAGCAGTCCCCATGTTACCGTCATTTAGAACATCAGTTAAAAAAAAGTAAAAAGAATGGTTTATGTATTCATTGGTTGCAGAAAAGACTCCAAGGGTGTATTATTTAGAACATGAAGTCGATATAATAGCATTATAGCAATAAAATGGAGAGATGTCATTCTTGGGACTATTCAGTCCATGTAACTATATAATATTCCTTCTAGCTGTGAGCGAATATACTAGACGTTTGCTAAAAGTATGGATATAACGTGCTTTTAATGCTACTTTCAGTAAGAGGAGATGACAGCTGAACCCCTTACGGACATAAGACGGAAATTTTACTTTTACTTCTGAAGTTGTGTCCTTAATTAAAACCAGGCTTCAGTATATCAAAGTAGGTAACAGGAATTGCACTCCGTCCGCAAGCCAATTAGGTGCTTAGCTAGATCATAGACCAGCACTCGCCCATCAGAACATAGATCTAAAAATATCAAAATATTGGGTGAAACATTGTGTTGTTTTGCTGGTTCCAATAAACGTGTCCTTAAGCATTGGAGTGCCTGGACCTGTTATTTTCATATCTGTATATCAAAGGTGTTCATGTTTTGATGTGCAAATTCCCTGTACTGGGTGGTGAGAGTTGAGGACTCAATGACATCATAATTTTGTGGCAGCTATAACGTTGTTGCGGAGTCCTATAGCTGAATTTGGTTACATGGCAGCTTAAGGAGCTATTCAGGATCAGACAAAAAGTAAGTAACCTTGATTCTATAAAATGTTGTTTTACTTTGTAACATGAAGCCAGTCTTGTGCAAACATAAGCGCTCTAATGGCGAGAGAGAAAATTGCATCTACTGAGGAACAGTAAAAAGGTCAGAATGGTAAAAACCCACATAGAATGGACAATGGTATTTCAATAAGAATAAGAAAAGAAACGGAAGAATGAGCTATTTATCCTATAATAATATGTACAAGTAAAAAAATATACATTGTATTAATAAAGTGCATATAAAATACTGACTTTTCACATTTCAACTGTTCTTCTTTTTATGTTAGTTAATCATTTTTTTTCCTTTTGAGAAACTATTTAAAACATATGATGAGAATTCCCATCCCTTATTCTCACACACAGCATTCCCACATTTTGTAAGAGTGGTTTGGTACATCCAGCCCCAGCTCATCTAGAACCCACAATGTGACAATGTAGCCATTTTCGGTTTAGTTAATCCTCCGTGTGTTCACAATGAAGATGCTCCAGAACTTTCATACTAGACCCTTTTATTGAGCACAGTAATCCTTAGCAAAGTTGGTCTACGGCACAATCATTCCTCATGGATCTTCAGAAAAGTGTCTTTTTGTGTTAGTGGCTGTCTATGCAAGCCATGCAATTCGGTTGAATCCTTCACTGGATTTTTGGCACCATGTACTCCAAACCCAGCTTGTAGCTTCCCCCTGAGTGGCAGGATTGATTGGCTGCACTCATATTGGGCACAGCACTCAGCTACTTGGATGCAAACAGAACCATCTGTTACACCTCTAGTTAAAAGAACATAAAGTTGAGCATTTCATATAGACAATACCACCCCTGATAAAACACTTAGTAAACACGGCTCCCTTTCTTCTTCTCTTGGCACAATCTCCCATTGTGGTAGGTACAATAAGGGGAAGCAAAAAAGCAAGAACTTAATCGAAATGGTTATCATTGCTCTTTCGTAATGAATCTCTTTACATGCAGACAGAGTTCAATCTACCAGCCTATTACCGTATAGACCACAGGAGCACTTTTATTTGGGATTGGTACATATCTAGAATGCAGAACAGATACCAAGTGGTACAGTTACAGAAACACGTTCCCTCTGCCATCGCAAGGTTATGCGAGTCCCTTGAAATGGTGTATTTAACATAAAAAAATCATTAAGCAGCAATCATAAGCATCATTAAAAAATGTTGTAGATTTGTTTACCCTTAAGCAGATCTTAAAGATGGGTTGCGTGTTTGTATCTGTTTCCAAGTAGTGCCAGTTTGCAGATATTTTTAAGTATCTTACATCTGTATTTTTGGAATACATTGCTGAATCTATTGGCTGTTACCAGTTTGAGCTATATAATGCTCATGGATAAATATCTATGGAGATTAATGAGTTTTGTGAGATTTAATGCTATGATTAAACATGTTGATGGACAGAAGGATGGATAAATGGACAGATGGACATATACATAGGAAAGTAGATATTTTCTTCAATTCTCCAACTTAGGTATTGTGACCTACAACTCCCAATTACCTGGTCAATTCTCAACAATTCCTTAACAGTGACTGTGTGTCCAGGTGGTCCATAAAGAAATACTAAAGAGGTACTTCAGCTTCAGTGATATCGTTAGTATTAAAGATATTATGATTATTGGCTTAGAATAAATTATAGCCATAAGTATAAATGTCTGGAGTTTATTCTTGGAACATGAAGTCAGTAAATTGTTGTCTTGCAAACTATAGGCTGAAAAAACAAAGTTGGATCAATCTGCCGTATTGTAGATTCTAAGAGTGCTCAGATCACTGTTTAGTGAATAGATTTTTAAATTCCATGTCAAACATTCTATGCTTGCATGGACTTGGTTGTGGAGAACCAAAACAAGCCAAACCAGAATCATAACAAACCAAATCAGAACCATAATAAAAAATAATAGAGACTAAAGACAAAAGCTTCTAAGCTGTTTGGTCACTAGATCAAGCAGACTCAGCTTGGGATGGAGTAAACTCCAGAAACCCGCTGGTCATTGATATAACATGCCAGAGAAGGGTCCACCTCCCTTACCTGCCGTTGTTCAAGGGTTGAACTTGGTGTTCTTGGAACTACTCCATAACTTACTATTTATTTAAAGGGTTATTTCAACCCCCATAACTACCATGGTAGTAGGAGCCTGGATGTGTAGTGTTCTGTTTGAAACACTGCACATCGAGAGTAATATGCACTTTTGCACAGGTGGAAAGTTGCACCCCCTACACATGTGACTTAGGCAAGTAAGACACATTGGCTATGGGCAAGTATGGAGGATGGCCTCTGGTGTAATTTGCCATTATGCGCTCCACCTGATTCCACAGTTGTTGATATTTCAAGTACACCCATACCATATGCACGCTTTGTGTAAAAGATTGTGACTTGTAGCCAAACAAAGAAGTTACTTTATGTGATTAGTTGCATAGTTCTGGCTGTGTTTATATATTTCGTTTTTACAATTCTTATCTATCGCTGTTACCCGGTGTATTTACCTGTTCGCTCATTCTGCCGTATTGCTCTAAACTGTTACCCCGTATTATCTATCAGTAATCGCTTTGCTCCCTTAGACCTGACCTGTTAGGCATTTGCTTCCCGGTATTATAAATACATGTACATTAAACTGAAGACACGGTACACTCCACAAATCTGTTTCATTTTATCTAGAGGATTGTCTTTCAAGCAGCTGGACGACACATTTGCCAAGAGGGGTTCCTTCTATTTCCTGCTGCACCCAGTAATTTATATCTATATCTGCTACTCAACGAGACGTTACTATTACCATCTTATGAGGGATGGTCTGGCACCGCTTTGTGTTATTTGTGTATAGAATCCCTATAGTTTGTCAGCTTGTTTGCTGTTCCTGTATGTTAAAATGAAATGTTTGTCTTGTTTACCTATTGTACACGGCTGCAGAATATGTTGGTGGAATGTAACTAATTGTAACTGTAAGGGGTATACTTTTAACACACTATTTAGAAATTGTTATTGTATGTCCTAGACCTAGAGCAATGGCTCTAAAGCTTTTTTTTTACAGGTACTCAGATGATATGCATGCCATTAGCTGGGTGACCCATGTTTCAGTTATAATATTAAATGTATGGAATGGATTCTACACCTTCACAAGATTCTTCCGAGGATCCGAGGGCCTCGGCTGTACTGGAGAAAGCTATGCTTCTAGGGTAAGCACTTTGTGTCGGGGGTTACCTGAAGATATATGCATTTAATTTTCCTTTTGCTACAATTTAGAACCCACTGAAATAATGATAGGACACACTTTTGGGCCCTGGCCCAGGAGCTTCCCCCACTCTAGACCATACCTTGTTAGCGCCATATTGTATTTAGATCTTCCAGCTCTTTATGCTCCTCACTGTGCAAATCCAGGTTAGATTCCTGTATTAGATTATTATTCTCTTTCAGCAAGTTATTCGTCTACCCACTGATTTAACATAAAAAGGAATGGCTGATATTTGGGATTTTGGAATTGTTTTAACATAAAACAGACAATAACAAGTTGTGCGCAGTTAACATGTTCATTAATAAGAAAAACACTATTGAGCATCTAGCAATTATTTAATCAAATGAATCATTTTCCTATTCAGCTAGTTTTTAAAAAACAAAAACAAACATTCTATTATCGCATTAGTTGTTGATGTTAGGGGGTAATTACTGCATTTACACAGCACAAGCATCCACTCTGTGTGTGGCACCAGGACCATACAATGGCTACAAAGAAACAAAATCTAATGCAGGAAGCCACAGACAGTCTCGCTCTGTAGCTATTGGCCAGCACCCCATGCTGCCTGAACACTGCTGCTATAGACCTCCCGTGCTTTGCCTGCCAACAGCAGAGGACGTTTTGGCTCTGACACTACCAGATGGGTCTGCATCTGCTTCAACTATATACTGCCGATTTGCCATCTTGGTCTCCCTGGCTGTAACTGCCTGCTAGATAGCCAGACCTGGTGCTGATTGTACGTCCAATGTATTCTTTGTGCTGGAATATCCCCGTTTCAGTCTGAATCGAGGATTCAGGAATGATGGAGAATGCGGGTCATCCGCCGATGACCTCCATACACTGGACGTAGGTGGTATATGTGATCCAGGAACATACGGAGACTGTAATGGTGGACATTCTAGGCCACATTAACCTCCTTAAGAACCCAATGAAGGAATAACTTAGTCATACAAGTCATGCTTTAAAAATCCCTTATTGAAATTGAACATTTTTCTCAGGTATCTGTGGAATGCCTGTATAGATCTGCAAACTGTAAATTCCATAGACTTAGGAATCAGATTGTAATGATGGTATGATATATCATTGGTCCTGGAAGGTTAAACCATATAATGGGATGCAAAGAATAAAAAAAAAATTGGCAATTTTAACAGGGATACAGTATATTATTGTTATAGAATAAAAATATCACATCCACGCACAGTCATGATTTTATATTTAGCCTTCTTATCCTTGTGCACTGCTATATGTCATATTTCATGGAATACGATGAGTTGAGTTATTTTATATTTAAATGTACTTTAAAGGTTGTGTATAATAAAGGACCGACAGAACAAAATCATGCTTGCTGAAAACCATGAACAGATTTGTGTTTATAAATACGGTAAAAAAAATTATTAGCTACAAGTGCAAGCACATTGTTTGATAGAACACACTAATAATCCACTGGTACAAAGCTATAATTCTCTCTTTAAGAGAGTTAGCCTGGTGCCTTCGGCCTATCACTGCTGCAAGTCAGATGGGCTAATACAGAAATCCACCTAGAGATTAGTAAAAACACAGCAGAGAGGCCAAGATTTAGACAACAAGAGACACTGTGTGGGCAATTGGATGCCATATATATCTAGGTAAAATATATTAGTGAGGTGACAACATGGGAAAGTAGATAGATAGATAGATAGATAGATAGATGATGGATGGATGGATGGATAGATAGATGGATAGATAGATAGATAGACAGACAACATGTGTCACACAAAGAGGCCTGCATACATTAGAAGCACAGAAGTAAAGACAAATTATTAGTGATTAAACAGCGTTAATTATTTAACATGTTTTATAATCTTTAACTTATTCTGAAAACGATTTGTGAGATCTTTCTCTGTCCAGAAACAAAAATCCACAAAGATAATTTTGTTATAAAAAAATTAACTATTTACACTGACATGAAAAATAAACATATCATTTACTTTTATATTACGTAGTAGTAAGGGGGTTAACAGGAAAATAAATTCAGTTACCACCATTTATCATATGTTTATGTTTTAATGCCATTTCCACAAGCAGACATCAGCAAAATGTAAGAAATCCCAAATCTAGTGTCCAGAAAAAAGGGAATTGGGGGGCACACCGGGAACATGCATTTCTGCACATGTAGAGGTACTGCTGTCAAGACCAAACTTTATACAAAATACAGATTATCTTCATGTTTTCTACAGATTCTCTATACTGCATATATTTTTGTGTGTGTGCACTGTTCCCAAATCTAGCATCCAGCCCTGGGATTCACTGGACAAAACTGACTTAAAGAATTCGTTGAATAACGAAATAATCATTGTTTGGCAGTCTAGCAATTAAAGGGTTAAGGACAAAGTATCATCTAAGAATTATCAATCTATATATTCTGTGTGTGTTTGAACCGGCTCAGGTCTTGCTGTACCAGCATGTATGCATGAGGTTTGTATTGTACTGCACTACATAATATGTTGGCACTTTAAATAATATTGATGATAAATATAATGTCACATAGTAGATTTAAAAGCTAGTATCTTCCAGTGGTATAAAGTAATAAACTATTAATTGTATATTCAACAGGATATTAACAATATATTACACTATGTTTGGCTTTGTAATTAGATATGCTATAAATACTCAATTATGGATGCAGTCATAGACTCACATAGGTCACTGAAAGTATTTCATAAAGAAGCAGACAGAGAGGCATACAGACAGACAGACAAATATATATACAGACAGAGACAGACCGATAGATGATTGATAGAGAGAGAGAGAGAGAGAGAGAGAGAGAGAGAGAGAGAGAGAGGTAGGCAGATAGATAGATAGAGTATAGATAGATAGATAGATAAAGAGATAAAGAGATAGAGAGATAGAGAGATAGATAGAGAGATAGATAGATATTGTATAGATAGAGATAGATAGATAGATAGATAGAGAGAGAGAGAGAGAGAGAGAGAGAGAGAGAGAGAGATAGAGAGAGAGAGATAGAGAGATAGATAGATAGAATATAGATAGATAGGTAGATACCTTATTCTTTGTTTAGTTCATTATATAGCTAACACTTTACAAAACATTCAAAAACAATAAATAATGAGAAATATACCCACATTTTGAAGTTTCTGCATTTATTCCATTCTTTGCAGCTTCTCCAGTGAGTTCTCATCAAACCAAGAAATGACTCAGACAATCTTGCTCTGTAACTTCATGTAATTCACCAGAGATTAATTCTGGTAGTTGTAATTTAAAGATCAGTTTTTTTACTGCAGATAAAAGTATACCATAATGTAAATCAGTATGTTTGTAACAAAACAGAAACCAGTGCAGATTGGGGGAGAGGGGCAGAATGGGGCTTTTATCGAGCAAAACCAATTGTTTATTTTAACATAGTTAAGGGCCAGCATTACATATGCTGTTTTTTTTTTTTTTTTTAATATATTTTTTATTATTATATTGTTAAAAGAAAGCCACTGGTGTCATAGAGATGCTAAATTCACAAATATATAGAAATCTTTAAACTGATAATGTGTAGGTCTCAGGTTGTCAGCTAATTTGGGACCCAAATGCCCAGTTTGTGGTTCCTGCACATCTGACACCCCCATATCTTGCACCACCGTGAAGCGTAGGCGTAGAATGAGATGCTCTTTGGCGGCTGCCCTTGTGTGTGTTGGTGGCTGTTTGCTATAACGGTGATGTATGTTACTGGGCGTCTCAGCTAGTTCTGCTTCTTCTGCTATTTGTTTTATTGATCCACCTCACCAACTTTTTCTATTATTCTTGATATTCTCAATAAACATTTATTGTCACTAAAGTGGGAGGAATGTGTAGCTGCGGGGCTCCAGCTATCTAGAGTGGGCACAACGGGTAGTTCACATTGCGTCACGTGTAGTTAATTATACAGAGTGCGGGTTCCCAGATTACGGTGATGGGCTAAGGTGATATTATTCATATTGCCTGGCACAGATACACACACAAAGTGATACACACACAGCGCGATACACACACAGCGCAGACACATCTATTCTACAGACCAACATTTTCTCTGAGTGTGGGGCATGCATGAGGCCTTTCCTTTCGGAAATCATTGAATCAATACTTTTCTACAGGGATTTAGAAGACGTTGGACATTCTCATGCAAAGCGTGAGGACGTCCTGCATCAGTTTATGGAGTTAAACTCCAGTGGTTGTCTGGCAGTATTAGATTGTCCACTAGAGGCAGTCCAAACACTGTAGCTGCATGGTTAAGGAGACAGGGACACTGCACTGTCAATGACATGGGGCCCTTTAACTTTGAAATGTGCTTTGAATAACCCTAATAGCATTCCACTGATTAAAGTTCATGAACACATTTCACAGGAGGGTACAAAATACATAAAAGCATTTTCTCACAGATAATTCAGTATTCAGAGATTCCCGTGTGCTTCTCCTGAGTCCAAAACTCATCTGATACATTTGAAGTGTTTTATTTGGTTTCTCTGTGATGTTTAACCTTGAGTGTTTGGCACTAGATCCAGCGGGTGATAACAATGTGGGCATCGGCCTCTCAGGCACAAAGAGCAGATATAGTTTGAGCTGACCCAGCCAGGGATTCCTTCAACTGTTTATTTCCTTGGCTGATGACTAGTGTTGCTCTGGAAACGCTAGTGAGTTCACGCACATGGAGAATCCTTAGTGGCAGAATGACTGGGCATCCCTGAGCCAATCCGAAATTGGGACCAACTAGACATAATTAGTAGGATGGAACATCGGGCATTCTGCTGGTCCAAACAATTAACAACAATAACAAAACTAATTGTAATATTAATTGCTAAACATTCTATTCTCATCACTAAATCATCCAAACGCACGGGACGATGATATTAATGGGTTAATTTAACTTTAATATTAATTTATACAAAATCGCCTGCATTGGGAGCAAGGAGCTATGTTATTATGGGCTCTCAGGATCCGTATACCAGTTATAATATCTGAAATGCAAACCAAATATCCCATTTGGTTATATCATTAGCCATCACTGTGTTATCACCGTTTTATCCATGCAGACTGTGATACATGCTTCATCTGACTGATAGGAGGTCCCTGTTATGCATTGTAACAAAAGGGTTAATTGGAACTCAACTGCAGAAAAATAAGTTCAGGAGAATGTCACTTTAAGAGGGAACTGAAATAAAGAAAAAGCATAGCACTTCTTGAAATAATAGTACTGTCACTTTAAGGATCTTTGAATTTACACAGCAGTAATTAGAATTCCAAAATAAAGTCTATGATTTCCCAGGCATGAATGAAGTTGCAGCAAAGAAAGTAGAAACAGAATTCAGAGTTAGAAGTAGAGGCTGGCGGTTAAATAGATTAACCAGAGTGTATCACAGGTGTATCCTCCTTCACCATACAAAATAGACAGATATAAACAGTGGTACACCCTCAGTCAGTGATGGCTAACCTTGACACCATAAATTGTCTCTGGACTACATTTCCCATGATGCTCAGCTAGCTTTTAGAGTCTAAAAGCTAGCTGAGCATCATGGGAAATGTAGTCCAGAAACAATTTATGATGTCAAGGTTAACCACCACTGCCCTAAGTGAAATCACACATATAATACCTATGGATGTATTTGGACCAAACAGGCTAATATATAAAATATAAAAACAGCACAGTGCTTTCTGCATTCATATAAAAATGTAGGAAATGCCAATGATATAAAACTCACACAGTATATCGCCGTATCAGGCTCTCTATCGGTAGCTCCAAGCTGTCTATACAGGTTGCATTTAAATATCCTCTCGAGAATAGAGAAGAGAAAATAGTCAGTTAAAAAAGGGGACAAAACATTTTTTAGATACATAAATGAGAAAACCAAAGTAAAACAAGGATTATTTAGATTAAAAACAAATGAAGGAATGTAACTATTTAATTCCCCTACTTTAACCCTTTGTGTCACTATACCCCACTCCCTCTAGCATGTAAGCTCATCGAGCAGGGCCCTCAACCCCCTCTGTTCCTGTACGTCAGTGGTCTGATCTCAATTATGTGTCTGTTAGTGCACCCATTGTACAGTGCTACGGAATTTGTTGGCGCTATATAAATAATAAAATAATAATAATAATAATAATAATAAATGTAGAGGAGGATAAAGGTCTAGCTGACTGCCTCAATGAATATTTTTGTTCTGTATTTACAGATGAAAATGAAGGAAAGGAGTCACAGTTAGGAAAAAGGACAAATGAGTAATTTGTTACATGTGAGTTTACAGAGGAAGAGGTTCTATTTCAACTGTCAAAGGATAGGACAAATAAGTCAATGGGGCCTGATGGAATACACCCAAAGCTATTAAAAGAGCTTAGTGGTGTACTAGCAAAACCATTAACAGATTTATTTAACCAATCATTGTTAACAGGAGTGGTCCCAGAAGAGTGGAAGTTAGCAAATGTTGTGCCCATTCACAAGAAAGGTAGTAGGGAGGAGTCGGGCAACTATAGGCCAGTAAACCTTACTTTAGTAGTAGGGAAAGTAATGGAAACCATGTTAAAGAATAGGATTGTTGAATATCTAAAATCACATGGCTTTCAAGATCAGAGACAATATGGGTTTTCGTCAGGGAGGTCATGCCAAACTAATCTTATTGATTTTTTGATTGGGTAATTAAAATAATAAATCAGGGTGGTGCAGTAGACATTGCTAACCTAGATTTCAGTAAGACTTTTGACACTGTTGCACATAGAAGGCTTATCAAAAACCTGCAATCTTTACGTTTGGATTTCAATATTGTTGAATGGGTAAGTCAGTGGCTGAGTGACAGGCAAGAGAGGGTTGTAGTCAATGGAGTATATTCAAAGCATGGTCTTGTCACCAGTGGGGTACCTCAGAGATCTGTACTTGGACCCATTCTCTTTAATATTTTTATTAGTGATATTGCAGAAGGTCTTGATGTTAAGGTATGTCTTTTTGCTGATGATACAAATGGCAAATGATTTAGGTAAACTAGAAAAACCCCTCTCACACAAACTTTAACCGTCACACACACACCCTGCACCCCTCACACACACTGCACCCCTCACATACACACATACTGCACCCCTCATATGCACACTACACCCTTCACACACACCCACTGCACCCTTCACACACACACACTGCACACTTAACTCACACACACTGCACCCCTCACACATACACACAGAACCCTCCCAACACACTGCACCACTCTCACACACACACACACAATACTTCCAAACACTGTAGCTGCATGGTTAAGGAGACAGGGACACTGCAGTGTCAATGACAGTGGGCCCTTTAACTTTGAAATGTGCTTTGAATAACCCTAATAGTGTCCCACTGATTAAAGTCTATGAACACATTTCACAGGATGGTACAAAATACAGAAAAGCATTTTCTCACAGATAATTCAGTATTCAGAGATTCTCGTGTGCCTCTCAAAAACTCATCTGATACATTTGAAGTGTATAATTTGGTTTCTCTGTGATGTTTACTTGAGTGTTTGGCACTAGATACAGCGGGTGATGGCAATGTGGGCATCGGCCCCTCAGGCACAAAGAGCAGTTATAGTTTGAGCTGACTCCAGCCAGGGATTCCTTCAGCACCCCTCACACAAACACTGCACCCCTCACACACATATTGCATCCCCAATACACACACTCTCTACAGCCCCTGGCCACACATACATTACATTACACCACAAACACAACACGACTAAAACCGGCCTTATTACACAATACCACACCACAATCAGGTCACTCTACACACACGCAATCCCACAAGCAGGCTCCAAACACATGCACAATATTCTTTCCTGGCCCGTTTGTCTCGTGGTATCCCATTTATAGAGACACCAGAGACAAGTTGGAAGAAAACACAGCCAAGTATGCTATTAAATTTGCTTGCACTGTGCAGAACAAATTACAGGGCCTTTTTCTCATGCTAGAGCTCTTCAGCAGAGCTCTGCGCGTGGTCTGCCCTGGAAGAGCATTGAACCAACATGCTCACTTTAATTGGTGATGACAAAACACACCCTCTCTGCCCCGAACCTTCTTAGTGGGCCGCTGTGATTAAAAGCTGGAGACTGTATCTCCGGAAGGATATTGATAATTTGGAGAAAGTTCAGAGAAGGGCTACTAAACTGGTTCATGGATTGCAGGATAAAACTTACCAGGAAAAGTTAAAGGATCTTAACATGTATAGCTTGGAGGAAAGACGAGACAGGGGGGATATGATAGAAACATTTAAATACATAAAGGGTATCAACACAGTAAAGGAGGAGACTGTATTTAAAAGAAGAAAAACTACCACAACAAGAGGACATAGTCTTAAAATAGAGGGGCAAAGGTTTAAAAATAATATCAGGAAGTATTACTTTACTGAGAGGGTAGTGGATGCATGGAATAGCCTTCCAGCTGAAGTGGTAAAAGTTAACACAGTGAAGGAGTTTAAGAATGCGTAGGATAGGCATAAGGCTACCCTAGACTTAAGATAAGATAAGGCCACAGACTAATCAAAGTATTTAGAAAATTGGGCAGACTAGAAGGGCCAAAAAGTTCTTATCTGCCATCACAGTCTATGTTTCTATGTTTCTATATTGGATATCGAAGTGGAAACTGGAGAAGGAGACTCCAAGGTAAGGATAAACAACTTTATTACAAATAGAATTATATTTAAAATAATAGGACCAATATTCAGCAGTGCATATGTAAAACAATACATATAAAATAAAGGATAGATCAAGATAAGTCCCAAAATAAAGAAAAGTCCAGCATATGCATTTCAACTCCTCCAGTAGTCTTCCTCAGTGCTGATTTAGTTAGAAGCAGCAGGAGTATAGACTGATTTATTCACTCAGTAGAAAGCTGAATTCTGAGACTTGACTTGAAGCAGGAATAGTCAATATTCAATAATTTACCTTGAGTTTTGGTAAAGGGAGCAGGCAGTGTGGATTCCGGGCTTGGGGAGGTCGGCTTAAATGAGGTGAGTAGCAGAGGTTCGGTACACTTGTAGTCAATATAGAAGGAGCTTAGATGGCAACTTTGACTTGCGAGGAGACAATTTGACTGAGCGATTTCAAGGTTGCAACGGCTTCCCTAAACTGCAGAGGCATCTGATGCCAGATACGAGGGCAGAGTTATCAGGGAAACCCATAAGATACATCGCAGGAATCGCTGATTGGTAAGTAAATAAGTTACCCCGCCCCCCCCTTAAATCATGCAGGAAGGAAGGAAGGAAAAGAAAGAGAGTTTGATAAGTAGTGATATCCCGAACAGTTCGCCACGAACGGTTCGCCACGGACTCATCATTGAGTAAACTTTGACCCTGTACCTCACAGTCAGCAGACACATTCCAGCCAATCAGCAGCAGACCCTCCCTCCCAGACCATCCCACCTCCTGGACAGCTCACTAAGAATGCAGCTTCACAATGAATGTAAAATGGATGCTGTCCAGGAGGTGGGAGGGTCTGGGAGGGAGGGTCTGCTGCTGATTGGCTGGAATGTGTCTGCTGACTGTGAGGTACAGGGTCAAAGTTTACTCAATGATGAGTCCGTGGCGAACCGTTCGGGGAACCGTTCGGGACATCACTATTAATAAATCATCAGTTTGCTCTACTTACCTGACTAGATTTCTAGTACTTCCTAACTAGTGCTTCCATTAGGGCAGGGGTAGGCAACCTTCACACTCCAGATGTGGTTCCTGGTTTAGGGAGTCTTCATCTCAGAGCTGAAAAAGTCCCTGTACATTTCCAATTCTGCTGTCATAGTAGTTATGGTCTGCCAGCAAACCTACTGCAAATCTGCAAGGCCTTCTGGGTGATGATGACATCTTTTAACTTTCTTTGAATCTGCCTTGAATATAAAACCCAGGACGGTATAGACAATAAGTAAATCATACCTTTAGAGGCAGAAGAATAATTTAGAGCAAATAAAGGATAAATAAAAATAAGAATTACATTGTGCCTGCTTTGGGCTTATTTACAAAGCCCTGGGCTGGCGCTGCTTCCAATAGCCCCTATGTTATTACGGCTTCGTTCATAACTGAACAAACATGTAAGTTACTTGCAATAGGCATCTTTGGAACTGATTTGCCTTCAGTCAATAGCTGACGTAGAGATTTGCCCCCTATAAGGTTATTTCCACTGAAATTGTGCAAATCAGTTGCAGCCTCAACATCTTGATAATAAAACATAAACTGTAAGACTGATAAGTCACCTTAGAGTCTAGTTAGAGAATTATTCACTAAACAGTTACTTTTTTGTTTTGTTTTTATTGTGTCAACAAAGTGTAAACAATTCTCCAACTTTCCTTGAAGATATTTATACATTGGCAATTTATCCTGAAATATTCAAACTCTATAAAGAAAATTCCCTACATATTGGTTAATGTAAAGGAGCACTATAGTCTCAGTCCCCCTACCCACCTCACAGCCCCCTACCCATGCCCAGACCCCCTACCCACCTCACAGCCCCATACCCACTCACAGTCCCCTACCACCACCTCCACAGCCCCTTACCCCTCACAGTCCCCTACCACCTCACAGCCCCCCTACCCACTCTCCCAGTC